ATTGAAGAGCCCCAGCTTCCGGGCGTGCTCTCTGATCTACCAGGATTGACAGTGTTAACACTTGCACGGGGCAGCTTCAATGTCGTCACGCCGCCCGCCGGGTCCTCTCGCATACGTGAAAGCATAGAGACAGAAGGCTCGGCTGTGGGAAAGCTGGCCGGACGATGGACATGCCTTGCCGGCGTGTGCGAGAAAAAGAGTGGTGACAGAGGTCCTTGTTGCTTTCCACGTGCTGAGGGATCAAGGCCAGCGGCTTTGTTAGGAAGTTCGACTTTGCGAGGCGGCGATGCCCCAGTGCGGGCTTTCTTAATGGGCGATGGGTGCATGACCGGTTCACCTCTTGCTGGGGCGGAGGGACGCTTCGATGGAATTGGAGTCTGTGGGAGCCCTCGCGTCGAGGCGCTAGGACCTAGCGGACTGCCGGCTGTAAATAAACTCGACTGGTGAATAGCGCCGGTAGTCGATGCTGTCGAGAAAGAGTTGGCCAAGTCAGATAAGGGCACGATGGAGGCCAAGTTGGGTATGCTAAGGTCCTGCCTCCATGCTGGTACTTCTGATGTTCGACGGGAGTCGTGGGCGGTCCTGCTAGATGCTGCAACTTTGTCGTAAGCTCTTCCAACTGCGTTGTTTGCGGCGGCGAAAAGTGAGGCGCTGGTATCGACCTCAGTGTTAGTAGTGCTGTTTGGGGCTATGGTTGAAGTCGCAAATGTGGGTGCATCAGCCTGAGCAGAGGTGGAAGCAAAAGAGTGGTGATGGCTGTGATGTTGTTGATTTTCGGGTTGACCCTCCTCTTCCCGGTTGACTGAATCTGCGACTGAGCGATTCGAAGAGATAGAAGGAGATGAGGGAGAATTGAAACTAGAGAGCTGCCGCATGAAGGCGCCTTGAGACGAGGACGGACTCGATGCCCCGTAAGGACTGAGAGTCCTTGGCACCTAGTGGCTTTGGGCCTTGCGCGGCGGCCAGCAGGCGATCGAGATGCGACCTGGCGAAGGGGCGTGTGTCCGTGAGGTTGGGTGTGTGTAGCGCTGTACCGTATGTGTGGTTGGTGATTGAATGTGACCTGACTGTAACTTGTGCCCGTACCGTAAGTGGGGAGGCAGATGTGCTGTGCAGCGCAGCGCAGCTCAGCAACAACCTAATAGTCAGTGCTGCTCCTCTTGTGTTGTCTGCTTGTCGGCAAGGTACCCTCGGTGCGGCGCAGCTTACCAAGTCAGGTAAGTACAGTACAGTGACAGCTTTGAAGAGCGGTGATGCGATGCCAGGTTGAAGGGGGAGGGGAAAAGAAATGCAACGGAGATCGAGATGGGCTGTGGGATCAGAAAGAATGCGAAATGGATACGAATGGATGTGTTACAGGGGATTCGCAGCTAAAAGTCGGCTGCACGTCGCCGAACAGGCACCTGAATTCTGGTTCTGTCCAGGGCTCTCAGGGCACTGTCGACGTGACTTGGTCGGTACTGGGTTAGACGGGACGGGACGGGATGGGATGCAAAGCAACGAGTATCTTTTGTCTGCTTCGCCAATATCCGAATGGCCGATCGATCGAGGGTAAGGGAAATAAAAAAGACCAATAACCGAGAGTGACGGCAGCATTCGTCGCTTTGGACTCGACGGAAACTCTCCAAGGTTTCGGAGTGGCGGGCTCAGGATCAGAAAAAAAGGACGGGTCCTGGCATGAGATTTAAGGTACCGTTGTGATTGAGTGCCGGAAAAAAGAGCCGCAGGTACAAACAGAGCAGCTGGGAGCCTATATGGGGCCCGGGGGTATAGTCAATTAATAGAGAGTGCCATTGACGTCGTTGCTAGATAGTCGAAGATGAGGGCCTCGAGGGAATATCAGGATGAATATGTCATGGCGCAACATACGTGCAGTGCAGGTTCGAGGGTTAGGGAAAAGATCTAATTGCAAAAAAGCAGAGGTGGCAGTAATTGAGACAAGAAAGTACTGTTAGGTTAGTCTGCAGGTATGAAGAGAGACTCCTTCGCATTTGTCTCTGGACAGATGTGAACGAGAAGTAATGGGGAACGGAATTGGATTAACCGTATTGTCGATTCAAATCAACCAGCACGAGACAGATTGACTGACTTGGATTAAGGGCCACCACAGACAATGACAAAAGGGGGAATTGAATCTATGACAGACATGTCTAATCTAGAGGTAGAAAGGATCAACGCTGATCTCCCAACGCATCTCGAATTCAGCTGCGACTAGGGCCCAGAAAGAGGAGGGAGAGTCAGTCAGCACAAGTACAGAGAATAACGCAACAACGTGACCGCAACACAGCACAGCACAGCACAACAAAGCAAAGCAAACTCATGGCGTTCAAAAGAACTGATAACCGGGGTTCATGCCGGGGGTCATGGAGATTAGGACGGGGAGTTGGCGTGCGATGGCTTGCAAGTGGATATATTTGAGCTTGGCACCGAATAATAATCCACCCGCTTTTGAGGCCTAGCAATTTAGGTCCTGGACTCGACAGGGGAGTCGACAGGGAGCTTGACCACCTGTGTGTACTAATAAGGTGCTGAACGTAAGGTATACGGCGAATACTCATAGGTATGTAAAAACTTTCATCATGATCAGAAAGGCACGCCCGGATAGTGCTAATACCAACGGCCAGCCTGCCCCTTCAGACAAGGAAGGAACAATAATGGTTACAGCGGGTTTTTAGGCGGAAGGAGGTGCGCCAAGCTTGCCAAAACCACCCCAATACAACAATGGATTTTGCTCTTCTGTTTCTGTCTATCAAGTCTCTGAATAATAAGCAGCGATCCGATGCCTGTCTCCACACTGGACATGCGTACAGTAACCGGCTTCTTTTCTGGTTCACAGAAACAGAACAAACCAAACAGATAGCAGATATCAGACCGGCCCTGGTCCGTCCCGCCCAAGACTGTTCTCAACTAGTCAGGAAGAGGCTGTGGGCTATTATCGAACAAGCTTTTGACTTTGGTTGAATCTTGGCTATTAGTGGTTCAGCTTCCAAAGAAGCAACCCTTCGTCGCTTGGAGCCTGTCGATCCTCATCGTATTGAACCATATCGAATCGATCCCGAGTCTACTTTAGCTTGCGTGATTCGTGCCTCGTCGCCGGGTTTGTCGAGATGGATCACTTAGAAATAAGGGCAGGCCTAACAGGATGAGTTTTACGCCAAAGATGGATAATGCCTCCAAAGACCCCTGCTCGTTATAAACATTAACGGCGGCGGAACCATCGGTGCAACCTCTTGGCAACAATATTGGTGACCTTGGCTGATTCGGCTGTGGTTATAATAGAGCCATATGACACGACACGACACGGGGATGCTGGTCATTTTGTTCTTTACAATTCCACACACCGGTCACTTTCTATCACTTTCGCTTTTGTTGGGCGACTTGACACAAGAGCCCAAACAAAACAACATTGGAAAAAGCCCTGGAGCAACTCTGCAATGGCACTGGTAAGACTTGTCTTTGAGGCTGACAAGGAGTGGAGGTGTTGAGTCAAGCAAAACTACCGAGGCACGCATGTCTTAATTGCCGCAGTTTGCAAGTAACCTTTCACCTCGCCTTGTCCAGTTCAAGATACGTATGTGCTGAGAAAGAGGAAAATCTGCACAGGAAAACACAGAAGCTTCTAGTTTAAGCATTCTTGGAACGCAAATTTCATCTACTAATTGAGAATAGCTGAAGAAGAAGCAGATGGAGAAGAAAAAAATGACAAAAAAAATTCCCGATTTAAGGAACAATGAATGAAAGATGGGTTGTGGAACAGATGCATGGAACTCACTCTCCCACATCAAGAAACACCCATGACGATCAAAGAGGTCTAGAACGGTCTGTTTTACCCACGCTTTGAGCCTTAGGGGCATCAAAAGCGACCCGCCTGCACCGCACGTCCATCATCAGTAAGACCCCCTGTCAGAGAGAGATCCAGCCTGTTAGCCTGTTCAGGAGCGGCTCCAGAGAACACGGTCTCGAAGTCTGACCCCTGGTTCTTGGCTGTGTGAGACTTTTTGCACCTTGAATTTTTGGCGTTACAAAACGCCCAAGATTTAGACCTCTGGTCGATAATGGGTGTCTGATATTGAATTTCATACCGAAGTAGGTGGGATGGTATCCACAATGAAGAGGCAACGTTTTCGTTTTCTTAGCCCGTCTACAATAAAGTTGGTTCGGCCGAAATGATTCTTTCGTGCAGAATAATTAATTGTCCGGTCCATAGTTTGAGCTTGGACTTGAAGCCCCACGACGTCAACTGAACAAAACAGTTGAACCGCCCAGAACTTCCTAATCCCGAAGCGGTGTGGATCGTGTCGCCTGTTCTGAGGTGAGACTGATAGGACAGGCAGATTTGGGGTGGAAAAGCACAGTCATCAATCCATTCTTATGACAGCTTCTTCCCGTTCAGCCACTCCGTTGATGCTGTGACGGCGGAGTTTCCCCTGCACTAATTGATAAAGTGACGCTGTGGCTGACTTGACTGCATTCTTTGTATGTCGGGTTTCTTTTTTGCTGAGCACGAGTTTTCAACTTGTGGGTTTGGTTCATCACAGGGTCATGCATCACAAGAACTATGAGAGCCTCTTTCATCGGTTGGTTAAGTATGGCAATACTTATTGAAAATGCAATACAATAAGCGCTGAGCCGTTATTCTGATTAGCAGCGGCAATACATATATTGAAGACCGTTCCATGAATATGCTGGACTCTTCTCTGTTGACAAGCATTTCCGAGTGTGACTATATAGTACATCCAGTGGTCTACCAAGATATGCAGGGGTCTGAAAGAACTTGACGGCCGAACCGGGGCACAGTAAAAGAGCGCTAGGAATGCCCTCACCTAGAAAACGATCATGGAAATCTTGGTTCAAGAACCGATTCAAATCAGTGTTTCGCTCGTATGATCCATGTTTTCATGATTTAAACCTCCATTATCGATATAGTTAGTCGCTAGTTGACCGATTCCGCATGTAATATCTGGCATGATTCTCAGTATGCAAAGCGGCGGTACAACAACATGAGCTTCTTCATCGTTCAACTCATGGATGATCATTGTCTGTTGGATATCACAACTGAGCCCATTCCTATCGTCACTCGACTGATAGACAGTAGCAGGCGGCTAAACCTTGACAAGATTGACCATGAACCAACATACGGATACGATTTGAAAAACATCGGTTCAAGCCGTACTTCCGGACGGGAAGATCACATTAAAATTCGAATCTGCGAGCACTTGACGGCAAAAAAACAGGCGGCTCAAATCCCTGCTGTTCAAGCAGCTTGGACTCATGAAGGCACATCGTCAACTGGATTCTTCGCCTTCTGATTGGTCAGTGAGACTCATGAGGTTGCAGCTCCAACTTCTGGTCCAGCCAATCGGGCCCTCTCGTCAACATCGAGCATCTTACCTATTCCACCCGGGCGCTTAACAGAGGAGACGAGTGGTGATGGACAAGTAGCTCTGCAACACCATTGGCTACACTTTAGATGCTCGTGGTGATTGACATACCTAGTATCACTCCAGACGCCCGCATCTTGGTTGCCGCTCACAGGCTGTTACAGGCCCCTTTCACACAGGATCACAGTGATGGCACTGGTTTTCATCAGCCATGAGCCTCTCACAGCTGGGAAAATCCTTGTGCCCCCCCTCAGCAGTTTACTGTAAGCGTGCGTATGCGGTTCCCTCTTCAGCCGATCCGTTGCGCTTCTGCTGGCCGCCTTGAAGGCCCTTAAACCGCTGCCCACCCCCGACCTGGCCACTTGAACGGCTCCTCTACATCCTCAACTGAGATTCACAGCTGCCGGTCAGCCATAGCGACGAACCAACTTGGCGAGCTTCAATTATACACAAGTCTATACGACGATATCGTGTATGTGTAACCGACTATAGCTGCTCCTCTAGCAGCCGACCACAAACGAAACAAAAGCCACGCGAATTTGATCAGATCAGATAAGATAGCTATCGACATGATGAAATTTCCCATCTTCAGTCGCTCATCGCAAGAGCACACAGACAAGTCGGCAAAGCCCAAAAGCTATAAAGTCGTATTCAGAAAATGGCCTCGCCTGGCGAGAAAGGCGGTTTGGTGGCTGATGCCTCTCGAGCTGATCGGAGTCGTAGCCGCTCTGGTTATCTTTGGCATCTCTCAACCCGATCTCTACCGAAGCGATATGTGGAATATTGGTTGGCAACATGATCCTCCGCTCAACTCGAACCCTGCCATAGTCCTCTACGCTTATGCCAACCATCGGCCTTTACCCAAGATCGCCCTTGTCTGGACAAGAACGTGAGTTTCTGTCGGGTTCTATTATATGAGATTAACTGACATGGAGAAAAAGATTTACCGATTTCAATGTTGCCATCTCGGTCATCTCGCTCTTCTTTCTTCTCGGCAAGCTTACAGCCTTTATTATGAGGTGCTGGTACCCAATCTTTGCCACCTTTATCAATTGCAGCTTGGTCGCTCTATACGCCGTTTGCACCTACGGAACCATTGGACCCGACTACGCCGATTCGCGATATCCCGCACCTGCAGCCTGGTACTACCGTTTTGGATGCGACATTGCGAGGCCTTATGGAAAGTATAAGAGCTGCATGATCGCCAAATACTCTCTTGTGCCGGCTGTGTATATGCTGTAGGTTACCCTTGAGAAAAGGATACACGAACGAGATATGCTGACGATCCTGTAGCTTTATATATGTTTGTAGCTTGGCCTTGTCAATCTATGCCCTCCTTCCCAACAAGATCAATGATATTTCCGACGACGACGATGAGGAAGAGGGATCTACGACATCGGAACCGAAGGACAGAGGTGTTTGGGAAATGCACAACATGAAGACGCCTGATGCTCGAGCGATGCCGTATACTCCTCGAACACAAGCATTTCATACTTTGGATCGCCAATTGCCGCTGCGGTCCCAACAGAACAGGTACGGGTGAATGGGCGAATGTAAATATTAAAACCCGACGACCGGAAGATATGTGTCTATGGCTGGACTACTATCCTTAATTAGCTTGGGGTGTTTTGGAGTTTGGGATGATGATATTGGATACCAAGAAACAATCTTTGAGGCTGAACAAGGCACAACTTTCATACTGTTACATATTTTTTTCTATCTAGCTTGAGAAGATAAGCATTGTATGCTCTCATGTCATTTGATAGCTGCACTAAGACTAAAGAATAATCACATTGGTCTTGATAAATGGTTATCTTTCGCAAAGACTTGCCTATTTCGCTGATTTGTACGGCCCGGTCAATGATGAAACATGGAGAAAGCTTGAACAGCTGCCAAGATGAATTGTCGGTCGGTGTCCAAGCTTAAAGAGACTTATAAAAGACGCAAGTCACTGACTCACTAATAAATTCCCACCCAAGTCCTGTCGTTGCCGGTCCCGCCGGAGCCGATCTTGGTGTCTTAGGTAGGTTCAGTGAGATGGATGCCGGCTCCGGGGGAGGATTTTAGTTCTAGTTCTAACGTTACCCCACGCAAACTTGAACCGGGAGCTTTAACAAGACGTCACCCCGCCAGTATTTGCCAACTTCGATATCATTTATCATTACATTTCAGGTCATCAATAGTCAATAAACCGTCCAATTGACTAAGTCTGATATCATTCTTTTCCAGTCAATCGGAAATATAGATACTTGGTCACAATGGCTCTTCTTCAGCGCTTGGTTGCTCCCTCAGCACGAGGTGCGCTGAGGCAATCTCCAGCTATCACCTTGATGATAACCCGAAAAGCATCCAACGCTTCTCCTCCAAAGGTATTTGTCATTGGCAGTTTATATAGTTGCAGCACTGAAATCCTATAGCTTAAAGATCCCTCCCTTCTCAAACAGGATGTCTGTTATGTCAATGGTGAATGGGTCAAGGCCAAGTCTGGCAAGACATTCAAAGTGAATGGTGAGCCTCAATCTCCCCACCACTTCTGCCACAAACTAACGATCTAGATCCTTCCACTGGCAGTCTCATCGGAACATGCCCCGAGTTTGACTCCAAAGACGCTCAATTAGCTGTTCGCGCTGCTGCTGATGCGTTCCCTTCCTTCCGCAACAAAACAGGCCGTGAGCGCTCTAAGCTGTTGCGCGCCTGGTATGAACAGATGATGGCCAACGCAGAGGACATCGCAAAGCTTATTACATGGGAAAATGGAAAGCCCATGGCTGACGCCAAAGGCGAGACAACTTATGCTGCCAACTTCCTCGAGTGGTTCAGTGAGGAGGCGCCACGAGTATATGGTGACACAATTCCCAGTTCAGTGCCTGGCAACCGGGTTTGGACTATCAAAGAGCCCGTTGGAGTTTGCGGCTTGATTACACCGTAAGAATCACTCAATGTTTATTGAAGATTAATGTTGACCTGACTTCTCTAGATGGAACTTTCCCGCTGCCATGATCACACGAAAGATCGGACCTGCTTTGGCTGCAGGCTGCACAGTCGTTGCAAAGGCTCCTGCCGAGACCCCATTTACTTCACTAGCCCTGGCCGAGCTGGCCCACCGTGCAGGAATTCCCAAAGGTGTTGTCAACGTCATAACTTCGCATGAGAATACTCCCGAACTCGGCGAGCTTCTCACTTCTGACCCCACCATCCGCAAGGTCTCTTTTACTGGTTCCACAAACGTTGGCAAGCTTCTTATGAAGCAGTCATCCGGTACCCTCAAGAAGCTCTCCATGGAGCTTGGTGGAAACGCCCCCTTTATCGTCTTTGACGACGCAGACGTTGATGCTGCCGTGGCTGGAGCCATCACCTCCAAATTCCGATCCTCAGGCCAGACCTGTGTCTGTGCCAACCGAATATACGTTCAGCGCGGCATCTATGATGAGTTTGTGTCCAAGTTTACTGAAAAGGTCAAGTCGTTCAGTGTAGGACACGGCTTCGACCAAGGCGTTACACATGGACCTCTGATTCATGACAAAGCTATTGAGAAGGTTGAGGCTCATGTCAAGGACGCCGAGAAGAAGGGTGGGAAAATCACCATCGGAGGTAAGCGACTCAGCGACCTCGGTTCCAACTTTTATGCTCCTACCGTCATCCGCGATATGACCCCAGAGATGGACATGGCCTCCCAGGAGACATTTGGACCTGTCGCTGGTCTCTTTCCCTTCGAGACGGAAGAGGATGTGGTCAAGATGGCCAACAACACTGAGGTCGGACTGGCGGGTTACTTCTTCTCCCGCGATCTCGAGCGTGTGCACCGCATTGCTGAGGCCCTTGAGGTGGGCATGGTTGGTGTCAACACTGGTCTCATTTCTGATGCTGCTGCGCCATTCGGCGGAGTGAAGGAGAGTGGCTTCGGTCGCGAAGGGTCGTTGTATGGTATCAGTGAGTACCAGGTCACCAAGATGATCACATATGGAGGCATGGGCAAGCCTCTTCAGTCATAAGTACAAAGGGTATACGGAAACTTAGTTTGTTATAATGAAAAATAAGAGTACTACATCTATTGAGTTATGAGAATGTATCCACGATTTCCGGCTGGTATCAAGGGACGCATATCATGTGAGTGAGAACAGTTGATGCAACAAGGAGTATTTTCAACTCTTTATGAGTACATACTGGGTTTTTAACCACTAAGTGATGAATTAACCTTCACCGTTTAGCCTATGATGTAGTGCAGCGCTCAAGGAATGTCGGAGTAACACGATATACCATATGGCTTCGCCCCCTCTATAAGTTATCAGCGAAAGCACCACAGGCTCTCGGTTTGTTGTCTCAGTCTCTTGCAATTTTATATACTTTGAGAGCATAATGTCAATCAGGCAGCTTATCTATTCAGTTTGACGTGTGCTGATGCTTGAGTTCCCACAACCAGCCAGGATACATCACACACAACACAACACCAACCCGTAACTCGACGGTCGTGTAGTGTAGTGGTTATCACAACTACTTTAAAAATCCCATTGTATTCGCCGTTGGTCGCAGGTTGAACCCTGCCACGATCATAAAGCGCATGAGGTGGTGTTGTCTGTGATGCATCCATATCATTTTTTGAACCACATTTTTGCGGGGGAACAAGGTAGTGTGGCAAGGCTGAGGAGGGGCCACCATAGCTTACTAAATTCATGAAAACAATTCAAGAGTTACTGATGATCTAATATCTCACAAATGACAACGTGGAGACCGAATTCTGGTGTTTCAGCTACTGGGCCGTTGTGGTAGATGAACGTAAGGTTACTGTGTAAGAAGTGCCCAGTCACTTAACAAGCGTACCGCAACTGATTGAGTAAAAAATCCAGATCATTTAATCGTCAATTGCAATAACACAGAATCATGTTGATTTAGTTGTATTTGGATAAATCTTATGTTCTATGTATATCTGTAGCCAATATCGTGTAAACCTCATGTAAGTGTTGGAATGTCCAAGCAATTCCTTATCTTATCACCTCGTAGAACCCACCACGAACTGACGTCGTGCAGGAATTTCGATCTTTACCACGACCTACGAAACACGCAAAACCATTTTAACCACAACACACTCTTTAGAATGGCAATGCCACGAGCCAATGGACCTTTAAGGACTTGTCTGCGCCAACTGGTGCGCTCAGAGGGGTATGTCCCATTACATATTCCTCTCCATCTACAATCTCAACCCAAATCATGCAATTGATTGACTGACCTAACCGACTACCCAGACCAGCTCCTCTCCGCTCGATAGCCGCCAGTCCTCGCGCATTCACCACATCTCATGCGCTTCTTAAGAAGCGCAAGATCTCGGCACCTGCCAACAGTCCCAATACCGCCACTGCGAAGGCCGCTGCGGGGTCTATGAACAAGGCCGAGTATGACACGGCTAAGGTGCCCATGCCCGACCCAGAGGATCCTCTCGACTTTACAGCTGTTATTGCTGCATACGCACCCATCGATGCGCATTTCAAGACTCAACTTGCAGGCATGATTCATGGCGGTCGCTTCAACCCAACAAACTTGGGTTCGTTGCCCGTGGCTATCAAGGATGAAGAAGGTGCCGACGCTTCGTTTCCCCTACGAGAGCTTGCGCAGGTTGTTCCTCGATCTGGCCGAGCTATTTCGCTACTTGTCAACGACAAGGAATACATTAAGCCCATCATGTCAGCAGTGCAATCGAGTCGGGAATTCAACCAGCAGCCTCAGCGATCAGAAGACAACGAGCTTGAGCTTCTCCTCAAGGTGGAGCTAGAGCGCAAAGACGATGTCGAGCGACGAATCAAGGAGGCTGTTCAGCAGTGGAAGGACCGCATCCGTACTGCTCGATCACGACATGAAAAGACGCTAAAGGACTGGAAGAAGAACGGCACCGTGCTTCCCGATATTGTCAAGAAGGCCGAGAAGGAACTGCAAAAGGTGCAGGATAAGAAGATGAAGGACATCGACCAGGAAGAGGCACAGACAATTCGTCAACTATAGATGCACAGACTGGCAGCCGTAGGATAGATGCAGAATATTTGTAGTATTACATATCGTGACAAGTACACTGATCCTAAGATCTAATCCGTATTTTTTAAGCGTTTGCCTTTCCACCCTTTCCACCAGCGCCCTTCTTATCCAGAAGAGACGTCAATTTCGTCTGGAACGAGTTGACGTCGTGGGTAGTGTAAGTCTCAGATCGGAGATGCCATGAGCGGGACACTCCGACAGGGTCTGATGCGAACTTGGGTGTCTCGTGCTGGCCCTGAATAGCTCGCTGTGTAATGACCTGACGGATAGCCTCCTCGGTTTCGGCAATGATAGGGCCCGTGATCTCCTTGCCTTCTGCTTTGGCCCTTCCTTGGAGGTACTGCTCGGCAGCCTTCTTGGCCTCAGTATCAGCGAAGAAGCGAATACCGCTGGCCTCGATCTCGGAGGCGTAGTATTTAGCCTGGAAGGCTTCTGGTGCACCGACGTGGTCTGCTGTGCCGAGAACGCTGAGGTTCTGCATAACAGTAGCTGACTTTCCAGAGGCGGTGCTTGGTGCAGCAGGGGCGAATTGGTTGATAGACTCGAGTGTGAGGGATGGTGTGTACTCGGAGCGCATGCCGAATCGAATGCTATCTTCGAAAGACTGCTCATCAGGATCCAGGTTGTTGAATTCGTTTCGGTCCCTGTTTCTATCCTTGTCGTCATCATCCTTTCTTCTGTCGCCTCTATTTCCACCTCGACCTCCACGGCCCCGACCTCCACGTCCACCGCGGCCTCTGGCGCTAAAGCCGCCTCGGCCTCGACCTCTTGTCATAGGCTGACCAGTTCGAACAGGCGAGGATGAGCGATCCTGGGTTGAAGATCCTCCCCTGCCCCCAAATCCGCCTCGTCCACGGAAACTGCCACGACCCCTCAGACCCCCTCGACCACGCAGGGGCAGGCTCTTTATGTCGATGACCTTGGGACCGCCAGTCTGAGCGGGACGAGCAGCCGGCCTCGGGGTGCTGGGACCATCGGCGGCTTGAATCTGTGAAGTCGAGAATTGGCGGGCGTAGTTTCGGAGAGCATCCGAGGCCTGCTCGAGCTCTGGCCTTGTTCGGTTGCACACCGAACGGAAGGCGTGACGTTGCATTTTGGTGGTGATTGTCTGGTGTGGTGAAGCTGATTGTCGTGATTTAGACGATCAATTTTCGACGTCTGCTAGATCATGACTAAGCCAGTACACCCCGCATTGACCAATCACATTTCTTGGCCGTATTGACATCGACTTCACCATAAAAGAACAAGTCATGAGAAGTGAGTATATAAACAAAAAACAAATTACTAGGAACTGCTTGTACTCAGTTCCTATTGCTATGCACAAAACCAAGATCCCAGATCTTGCTATAAGCCCATGAATAACTCTATAGGGTTGTACCCTTCCAATCCTCCCATCAATCCTTTACAAATGCGCCAAGCATAGGCCAATCGTTCCCAAACTCCAAAGCGTATACATGGCAGCGCTGTTTAGGGCCTTGCGTGCCTTTCAACCATTTCAGGTTGTGTGTTTAGGACAGTTACGTCCGTTACTCGGGGCAGAGACAGTGACTAACGGCTGTCACACCGTGATACTGGGCCACTGCGTACGGAGTATACTTGTTCTTGGCTCACAAGGCCATATTCTGGACCTGAATCATACTCTTGCTAGAGTTGATCTGTTTGCGCTGTTCTTTCTGCTTAAAACAATTGGCTGTATCTTCCAGGTCGCCCTCGAATTGCCATCATTGGTGTAAAATGAATGTTTCGTAATGGAGGAAGCTGGCATAAAAAAAAGTCGGATTCGTATTTGCGATATGTACATCATTACATGCTCTGAGGTTGAATCAAGGCGGGCTGTAGTCAATTAGCAGGAATTCAAGATATCGTTGGCGTTTAAACATACCGGACTGTTAAGCATGTGTTGGCGCTTGTTTCGGCTCTTCTTAATATGACTCTTGAGAGCACTCGAGTCGAGAGGCTTGAGAAGCTCAAAGCTACAGAGTAACTCAGAGGATACCGACATAACGGCGCCCCAGTTATCAAATTCACCGCAGTACTACGCGAGTTAGCCTTTGATTCGAGGGAAATTGGGAGGGAACAACTTACATTGGGGGCACTGAAGACCGTCACCAGAACCCTATCGTTGAAGAATTCATAGCCATCCTCAACCACCATGTGCGCTCGACAGATGAGATCAAAATCATGTACTGCCAAAAACTCTGTAATAACCCGTTTACCAAAACAATAACTAACGCCTCTTTCGTTGGCTTCCCAATCTTGCTCCATGTCGGCAGGATCAGACCAAAGAAGATCGTTGAGCAGCCCATAATCGGGGACGTCAGTAGGTCGAGCAATGTTTCGAATGTCGTCCATGTGGACCAGAGCTGGTGACAATCCTCCGTGAACACAAAAGATCTTGCCGGCGACGATCGCGGCGATGGGAAGAGTGTTAAAGCAGTCAATAAACGTCTTCCAGATTTTGACATTGCACCTTCGCTTGCATTCGTCATAAAAGCCATAGACTCGTGTGACATTGGCGCACTCGTGGTTTCCTCGGAGGAGGAAAAAGTTTTCGGGGAATTTAAGTTTATAGCAAAGCAGCAGCAGGATTGTCTCCAGTGATTGCTTTCCTCGATCAACATAGTCGCCAAGGAAGAGATAGTTTGAGTTTGGAGGGAAGCCACACATCTCAAACATTCGGATAACGTCAGTGTACTGCCCGTGGACATCACCCACAACCTTGACAGGCGCATCTAACTCCAACAAAGCAGGTTGCGACAGGAAAACCTCTCTTGCCCTCTGGCAAATAGCAACAATTTCGGCGTTCTTGAGACAAACGCTCTTTGTTACTTTCCCAGCATAACCCGCATCCAAGAGTCGCTTGATAAAGTCATCAAGATCGATATCTTTAATTTCAGACATGGCAACGTTGGAATTTCCCTCGGCCTTGGACTCATCAGACGGACCATTATTGACTGGGTTAATGGTGTTTTCGCGCTTCACCAGAATCGACTGCCCCGGAGCTTGCATGTGCGCGTTGGCTCCAGCGTTGACAGACGGAGGCTGATCGGAAACGTGATCGACTTCTCCCGATGCTTGCGCGGCACTGACATCGTGGTTGCCGCCTTTAGCGTTACCATGAACGGGAGAGGGAGGGAGCTGGTCCTCTCCGACGGCGGAATCTGCGAGAGCCGACTCGGATGCTGACATGTCCGTCCCGGCAGTATTGAGGGGAGGGAGCTCGCTACGGCTCAGTCGAGACGAGCTTGAACGTCCATGCCTACTGGCACGCCTTTCCTCGCTCTTAGATTCGACTGGATTCTCGCCGTTGGACAAGACCTTTGAGTTCCTGGGACTGTCCGATTTGCTGCTGCTGCGGATCTTTGATCCTAGAGAACGAAACGAGCGTGAGGATTCCTTGGTGTCAGATCGACTAAAAGATGGGTAAGACTGAAGAGGTCCATCGGGCCCGGCAGAACCGGAGCCCTTTGAGCCAGATCCACCTTGACTGGAGTTGTTGTTTCCCATGATATTTGTTTCCGCGACTCTAACCAACGATGACTCAAACTGAAGTTTGGCTGGCTGGCTGACTGGCTAGCGGGTGGGTGTGCGGGTGATGCGGTTCGGATAATTCGTAACAATTCTTGGCGTGGGCGCAGGTGAGATGCCGGCAACCGTTAAGACCAAGGGAGGTGTTAAGGAGGGTGAAAAAAGCGATCGAGGGTTAGGAAGAAGGAGGAGAAACGTTGACCCCTTGATGCGTCCGTTTTGGGCAGTTTGAGAAGATGCTTCAAGTTGAAGCACTGCTGTCTGTATTTTTGGGTCTAGATGTTGGAGTGAGTCGGCGGGTGGATTTTGCGGCGATGATGACGTCGTGTGATGGTCCGTTAACGCCGGGATGAGGCCGGAGACGATATAAAGCGCGAACCGAAAGGTGATCGGAGATAGTGCTGAATGACAAAAGACCGAGTCTGAGTCTAAGAGATGGCCCAAGTTAGGGTAATTCGCTTCTGATAATGAGGGAAGTTGAGTGAAGAGAGTGAGTGGATGCAGAAGTTGCGGCGCATACAGCTAACTAGTCTAGCTACAGAGACCGTAGGTAGAAAAAAAATAGCCACAGTGTGGAGGATAAGAGATGTAGCGAAAGAGGAGGGTAAGTCGGGTGGACATACAACAAACTAACAAAACGAATTGTCGGGTATAATACAGGTGGCTGAAGCCGCTAGGATGAGACCAACAGCAAAAGCAAGTATGATAAGACTGAAAAGTCAGATTACCAAAACGTTTTAAGGGCAAAACGTTGGGTGTCGGGCGCTGGCGCAAGAAAGTATCGGTATCGGTATAGGAATGGTATGGTATGGCAGGTGAGAGAGAAAAAAGTACAGTTGCAGGGACGCGAGAGAAGCGATGCGAGGAAAAGCAAGATATGAAGATAAATACGACGGGCGGCGTAGCTTCAAGGCGGTTCTCGCATGCGAATGACGTCGATTGGAATTGGGTACGTTAGATGATAGAGTCTTTTAATATGTGAATGATCAAGTATCTGCACACGCAATTAGACGCAGGCAGTCAGTCAAGAAGACAGCAATAAAGATAGAACCAATTGCGACGGCTGAGGCTCTGGAAGATTGTTGCAAGAGGAAGAAACAGCAGACGAGACAAGTGTGTTGCGGAGGTAAGATAGTAGTCTAGGTAGACAGGATACCTAGGATGAGATAGGATAGGATAGGATTTTAGGACAGACAGCCAAGGTTACTAAGGTAAGTAGGAGGTAGGCAGACTAAGAGCTTGGTTGGATACCTAATGAATGACCTCCACCTTTCGGTTCCTACCCCAAGAAAAGCCAAGACAAGTCCAGAGCAAGGAAACGTAAGGTAAAAGGTGAGATAAGTTGAGTTGAGGCCGGTCGAGAAGCTCAGTCCACTACAGTAGCAACGTCTAGGCCAGTAGAGAGTATTATTAGCGGAACCGGAAAGGTCGAAGCGAAGCGAGTAAAAGTGGCGGCTCAGGTTCAGGCTATGGCAATTAAGGTTCCACACCCCTCATCGCTTTCTCTTTCTTTGTCGGACCAATTGAGGCTAAAGATAGAGAGAGAGAGAGAGAGAGAGAGAGAGAGAGAATCATTAGGGAAAAGAGACCACGTCAAGCTGACAACTCGAGAGCTTCGTCAAACAAGACTTCAATAAAGGTTGCGAAATTCGTATGATGAGACATCTACCTACCTACGGATACTACACGGAAGACCGAAACGAATCTCTGATGACAAGCACTTCCTAGCCAAGACTCGTTCGTCTGGGGTGGTTTATTTGATCGGCGCCCAATAGAGGGGAGCTTCAGTAGTGCGAGGTTGGGTTGGGTTAACTGTAAATAGAGCACACGACAGGGGTTTGAAGCAATTAGTTCGTCTTGGATGATACGTGTGAGTGTCAAGGTAAAAGAGCCAAGAAACGACAAGCCTTGATAAGAGTAAGAGAAATGCGTTGGAAATTTTATCGGTATTTGACCTCCGCCGACTTGTCATATGGATGGATGTACAGAGTGCTTAGTCGATCTTGGTCTTGGGACCTGGCTGAGTGACTCACAAGATAGGATCTAGACTATCAAAGACAAAAAACAGAAAGATACCGAGACATAGACAGAGACAGAACAACAGATCATAGCATACATACCTTACATGCCTAGACCATCTCTATGGAGTCTCCGTATGCAACATCCAACCCGAATCCCTGGAGGTTTGGAGACGACCGATTGGCACGTGCGAGAGCTTGAATTTGTCATGACCATTCAAGATTCATTTCTCAGAGAAACAAGTCAAGAAACTCGGTCAAACGTTCGGACTCAGTTCAAACCACTTCACATATCCATGTCATTTCCATCGTCTCCCCAACTCAAAGCCACGTTTAAGGTAGCATAAAATGACCAAACTATTTCGTTTTCCAGGTTGTTAGAGTCAAGTTTCTCTGTCCCGAGGACCATCTACTGGTATACTAAGTTACCGACTATCTAATGGCAAAAAAAGCCAAGACGGAGTAGACTAAAAAGGCACATGTTCAACCCCTCACTACAGACAAGAACATAATGACATATCAAATTACATTCCCCCATCTTTTCCTTATTTTGAGGCCGCCGTTTTTGCCTTCGTAGTGCGTCAGTAGCTCGCTACCTAACGTTGGATACTCGGTATCACCATTGCACAGACTTTGTGCTGTGACAACTGACCATTCCTCGTGCACCTCTCACCGAACCCGTCCTCGCGTGGTTCTGACAGCCGCAGCCGGTCTGGCACACACTATCCCTCTTTTGTGTAAGGGTGAATTGAGTTTGAGAATACATCTTACAACCATAATACAACCACCATACAGAGAACGACGTTTCAAGAACTGGAAACTCGAAATTGTTACCACAAGTATTTTACATGGTGTAAAGTATAGCGCAGCTGCAAACAGGCTGGCCCGAAACCGTGTGAATACCGTCCCTTCCACTCCACTCCATAAAAAAAAACATCGGATGCTGGACCTTGTGCTGTTAAGCCAGTCCCCGAGACCATGTTCGTCTCTGTTCATATGTCCACAAGACAAAAGGCATCCAGGCTCCCTCATTCGGCCGTCTCAATATCGATCAGTAGCCGTCAGTTGACAGCTCACTTACACACCACTGAAGATTTGCAAAGAACCATCTCGCTGTCATAGTTGCAGCCATTGGTGTTCCCCGTCTTGAGAAGCATTGGCGAGATCATGAAGGCAACGGCAGTCTGGGGAGACGATTCCCCAGAGTATGCCACAGCACCACGGCATCCATCCCATCTGCGTCGTATGGAAGACTCTTCGATTGTCCAGTTTCCGGCCATTGGATCGACAAAATGGCCATGGAACTCATCAACATCTCATCAAGGTCGAGTGCAGTTTCCACAATGCTCTTCATCTCCCGAAGGAAATCAGTGTCTGTCTTTTCTGCAGCGATGTTACAAAATTGCTCCAGCTTGTCCAATTCATAGGCAGCCCTCCTTTTGGGGGCCTTTTTATCACGTCCATAGAAGTGACCGAGGAGAACAGTTCCTTGAGCAGACCACTTTGCAACATGTTTCATCGTCGGCTCTGAGCGTGAAGGTCTATCAGTCTCAGGGGCAATTTCTATCGCACATGCTGTTAGCTACCTTGTATATCAGGGGACTGCCATGCCAGCCCTTACCAGCAAGACGCCTTCGCATATTTTTGAGGCCGCGAAGGAAACCGCCTCCCCAAAACCTACTCCCACTCTGGAAGATTTCTTCGTTAACGATAGCCCAGAGGTAAGCGGTGATGAGAAATTCCTTGTAATCATCTTCTTCCAACAGCTTTCGCCAAGATGAGACGATGGCTTCTAACCGTTCCTTAGTTACAGGGTCTGTTGGGCATCTGGTTGGGTATTTGGCCAAGGCTCTTACCATAGCGCAGATATTGTAGTCAAGCTGCTTCCACTTGCTTCTAATAGTATCGTCCGAGGTCTTTACCGCGCCTGTACAGTTGGCAATGTCAACGAGTTTTTGGAGCTCATTCCGCTCCCTGACGGTCTCCGCAAGCTTGGTGGCTGCCTCTTGAAACTTCTTTTGCAAAGTTTGATGATCCATCTGTAACTGTCGGTATTGGCTTTCGACGTCGATAGATCGGTTGTGGGCGAGGTCAAGGTGTTCGTACAGGGATTCTCCTTGGTGCAAAGAAGGATGTCCAAGCCAGTCGGCAACAGTGTCACTGAGTCTTGCGGCGATACCGACGAGGTGATCAGTTCGTCGTCTCACAGCGGGCCCTTGTGCATCGACGTTTTCTTCAGAATGACGCCGAAAAGAACCCACCCGCGCCTCTTCAACTACGCGAAACTCATTCGTAGAAGGTGAGTTCTTGGGAGTTTCGCTGCCTTGCGAAATATCATCGCTATGTTGTGCTAGAGTGCCTTCGAAACCGCTGAAGTCGATGATATTTCCAGGTCCACGGCCATGATTGACGTGCTTGGGAGGCTTGGTAGTCAAAGCTCCACGATAATCAAGCGTGGGTTTCTCCTGTCAGTCAGGTAACTTGTCCCGGAAATCCATCCTGATCACTTTGAGGGATATACGGATCAAGGACTTCTACTTCTTAGTAAGTTTTGATTCAATATCATATTACAAGAAAGTGTCAAATGGGTACTCGCAGAACTGTCCTTGAGGGAAGATTGTGTTACTCTGAAAGTATCTTGGGAAAGAGATGAAATGAAGAAAATTGAAAGGTGCAGGGAAACACTAAGTTCCTTCCGCGAAAGAAGTGATGCTGAGGAGCGCGAGCACCCGTGCGGTCAGAAGAAAGCCTGCAGCGACCAAACAACGCAGCAAACAAATCCTACGTCCAGTGACTGATTGTTTGCTTGCAATTACGTATTCTTTGACAGCACCGGAAGATTCTCTGAAGGTGATCGGGGTGCAGCGCCGTGTGGCACTTCTATCAACCCCTTTCGTCTGCTATGCACCTGCCATGCACTTGCCAAACACTGTCAAGCACTCCGAGCACTGGCAATAAAAATTTCCCCAGGCAACAATCCTTGGAATCTTCTGGATCAACTCCAATCTACGCTTGTCTTTTTCTTAAAAAAACAATTTTTGTTCTCTCGACAAAGATCCGCTCAAATGGTTCAAGCTGTTGCTCCTTGAACCCGCTGACCTCCCTGCCGAGGTCGCTATTTCAACTCAGATACAGGAAGCCCGTCGTCTCCAGAATGGAACAGGAAAAGAACCCATCGCAATCATCGCATCATTTCTGCGCAAGCTCAGGGACCATTCAGTCGAATCCATTCGACGTGCCATAGGTGCGGACTTGCTCGAGCGATCCAGGTTCCAGGTCGTTATCACTCTGCCTGCCATTTGGCCTCTATACGCTCAAAACCGAATGAAGCAAGCTGCTCATCAGTCTAGTATCTTAGATGTACGGTCCGCTGGTACTACCATGCTTGAATTCATTTCAGAGCCTGAAGCTGCCGCCCTTGCTACTATCAAAGACATGGGTAAAATATCAACCGTCAAGGTAAGAACATAGAACATTGTATTATGTGTCCGTTTGTGTCTAACATTCTGAATAGACTGAAGACACCATTGTTGTCTGTGATGCCGGAGGTGGCACAGTTGTAAGTCGGGTCAATGATGAAACTACGCCCCGCTGACCCTGTAAAGGATCTTATTAGTTATGTCTTTGAATCAACCGACCCGTTTATTGTCAAAGAATGTGTTAAGGGTGATGGTGAATTATCGGGGTTATTACATCTGACAGATAACGTTTTGGCTGACTGGAATGCGACTAGGTGATCTCTGCGGCGGAGTATTTCTTGACGAAGCTTTCATGAAACTTATCAAGAATAAAACACCCACCATCCTGCAGTCAAATGGAAGCAAGCCGTGAGTACTCCAACCTTGGCTGAAAACAAATACAAGCATAGTTAACCTTCTTACGAACTCATAGGTGGACTGCTATCTATCGTGGAGCTGTGGTGCAGGGGCTTCTGCGACACAACCCTCCTTCCGGTCTCGGGGTTGTTGTCGAGTCACGAATCGCTCGCATGAGTTATGGTGTTATGTATCGCACACCCTTCGTTCCCGGAAAACACAAGAAGAATGACCAGGTCTGGTGCGCCATGGAACAATTGTGGATGGCCAATAACCAGATGGGATGGTTCCTCCAAGAAGTAAGTAGGATGGGGGGCATGGCGCATTCCACTACTAACTTACCTCCTAAAGTGATGATATTTCAGTGAAGAGATCAGTTCATCACGACTACTACCGTCTGATAGACGGCGCTATGGTCAAGATTTCCAACGAAATATTCTGCTCGACGACTTTCCCATCTCCCAGACGATATGATGGCACCAATGGGATTCGGTCGTTGTGCAACATTTCATGGGACCAGAAGGTCAAGACCAGTTCGCTTCCGACATTCACCAATGACAACAACCAGTGCTTCCCAAAGCTTGGTTACCGAATCAAGATGGAGTGTGATGACAGGATTGTAAACTTCGCTGTCTACTTCAACGGATAGAAGGTTGGTGGGCGAGAGGTTGATATCCAATTCAACTAGATCAACTTTATGTTGATGGCTCACGGGTAGGGTCAGGAACCACCCATCTTTTTGATCAAGTCATGGTCAGTTTTTGGGAGGTTCAAGTATTATGAGTGTGTGGTTCAGATGCCCCAGAGTGGTGGGATAGCAACAAAACCAAAGGGGATATCAGGTTCTCTGTGCCTTGAGGTACATTGGGAGGACAGTCAATCGTTGAAGATATATATATACAGATCAAAGGACAGGCATCAAGCAAAAGACGGTTCATAATAGGTACTTATACAGACGCTGATATCTAATGTGATCGAGTTTTTGTACCACATTCGCTTGCTTTTACTCTATGTCACTCAGAGGAAAACCAGGCTAATGTTGACCACGGAAGTGAGTTGGTAATAGAGAGACTGGACTATTTTATATGTGTGAGGAACCAGCAGTGTCTATTTCTTTTATATTGGTATAAAGATGCATGGTACACGATTATCATTTGTTGGAATAAGTTCACTATCTAGTAGATGCAGTCGTAGAGGGTACGTGATTGGATTATTGGTCAAGGAGGTTCAGGAAGTCGTCGACTAGCTGTATATGGAAGAAGGACTTTGGGTTTTGGGATGACTGACAAGTGACAACCCAAGTCAGCGACGTCCAAACTTTGATGTCCTTATCAAATGTGTCAGCTTGATTTTCGCAAGGCCTGCCTGTAGGTACAAGACAGGAAGAATTGACATAATTGCCAGAGGATGGTGCCAAGACAAATATCGGCTTGTATACCTCTTTGCGGCCATGTGAGAAAATTGAATCAACAATTGAGTTTATCGTTAAGAAAAGGCACACGTATACATGCTACGTACGTTGAAAGAAGAATATCGGTAAATTTCAACGGCATGAACTAGCCTCAAAGGGCAGTGCAGGAAGGGGTTAGTTATCGCTACAATCTGGTGATCTCAGTAGCATTCCTGGCTGGGCTGAGCGAGGCCAAAAACGCGGCAGACCTAAAATTAGATAAAGTAGATTTCGAAACTACCCGGGACAAGACTAGCAACGGGCTGTGCTTTTAAGATGGAGTGAGGCTTTGCTCTGCTAGTCAGGCCAGGGGAAGAGGAGAGGAACGTGTTTCGCAACAAAATTGCTCGATTTGCTTGATCCTTAAGGCTGTGCGATATTGCGATCGATTGTAGAATAGAGAAATGGCGGACATGCAGACATGCCATCTACTCGTTGGTTTACGTTGTGAGACTAATTAAGGTCAAGGTGAGATGGATGCTGACAATGGAGGAACTTGAAGCATCCTTGACTGTCAGCCGCAGCCTAACTAAGATACAACGGGGGTAGCCTTCATCCCACCTCCCACATGCCGTTTTACTCTGCAGCTGTAATAGCGGTAACTCAATCTTGCACAAAAACTCAAAAATCTGTATGACTACCGGTGAATATATTGACTTTGGTCCTATGCGTTGTATTGCGTCGACATGTTATAATACAACACTGTCCCACCACGTCAATGACAATTCGTTTTGTTTGTCTCCTCCCTCTCCCACATGCTGATCAATGGAGAAGAAGGGAAAAACAAAAATGGAGGTGGTGGAGGTGGATCGGAATCCTAGCAGGTGTCGTCAGCACCAAAACGTTCAGGGTCCTTGCGTGTATTTTTTCAGTCTTGTAGGGATCGCCAGACCCATGCTATTGGGTCAAGAAATAACCTGAATGGAGCAAGTGAGTTATCGTTGGGAAAATGAGATGGTTGATTTTTATTTTACGGAGCTAATGTCATCATGAGGATCGTAACGGAAACGGAAACACCCTGTCTGTTGAAACTATCAAGGCATCTTCCATTTAAGAGTGATGGTTCGGCTGCCGGGCCAATGACATGATCGTCATGCTGATCGTGGAATAGAGAGTTTGCAGATGGATGCTCACCTTCAGGTACCGTAGTCCGTTCTCCGTAGGGCTCGTTCACTCAAGTCAGCCAGCGCATAAGCACCATCTGATTGTTTATTCTTCAGCTGTGATCGGAGCAAATGAGTAAGCTGCGCCTTCAAAGAAGCCAAGCTCTTCTCGTCTAGAAAACAAAAACAAAGGGCGGCGAAAGCTCAAGTGGCTGAGCGCCCTACGTCTCCACTGTGACACTCTTAGTGGGAACCTGACCTTAAGCTGTAACGACCTGAACCCGGGCTTGGGCTTGGAGTCGTAAGCACGACGCCTCCACGACAAGGCAGTTTTTATTGATACTGTACAATACGAGGCTGATGTTATATGATGGACAGTGTCTATACTCATCAGTCACTATGCTGTGCGCGGGATCTTGCCTGTCCGGGGTAGGCTTCGCTGCGCCACTCCACTCCTCCACGTCAACCTATCCAACCCCCTCTTCTCACTGTTGGTGCTGGGCTGCAGATTGCTTGTTGTTGCTTGTGTAGGGCGGCGGGGGCTGTATCACTAAAAAGTACCTAGTCCTAGTGCTCACGCCCAGCATCAGCCCTGGGTTCAGCTTTTTATAAAACCACAGTCCTCTTCCACACTCTGTTTTCTTATTGTATCTCGTTTCATCTCATCATCTCACCTTGTCCCTTTTTTACGTTCGCGTCATATCATCTGTCGCGTTCCGTATAACTCACTCGAATAGAAGAGTCATTCGCTTACAACAGCACTCGTTCACTGCCAACTTACGTCATACCGATTCGACCTCCGATATCGACAGACGTTTTTTAAGCATCCGCCCACCGCATAATTAACACACAAACTCACACATCAAACTCTAACCTAACCGAAAATGGGTGTCGGTCGCTTTTTCTGTGTGCTATTGCCGTTCGCACTTACAATCGGCTCCATCATCTTCCTCCTCGTCGGTGCCCTCGCCGGTGTCGCCGACAAGTCTCTCTACATCTTCCGAGTCGATGTTGAGGACCTCAGCATCAGCCCCGCCGATGTCGACAACATCATCGACAATCTCGACCTAAAGGACCTCAAGCTCAGCACTCGCGATGTGCCCCAACTCATGATCCGTGCCGAGGATGGTGCTCCCATCAAGGATAACATCACCGCCAAGATGCTCGGTCTCGACAAGTACTACGACATCAACCTCTGGGGTTTCTGCAAGATCGACGCCGATGGCAAGCGCAAGTGTGAGAAGCCTCAATTTGACTGGGCCAGCAAGTCTCTGAACACATCTACTCTCGTTGGTACCAACAAAAACATTGCTATTGAGCTCCCCGATGAGATCCAGAGTGCCCTCAAGGCTTTCAGGACCGCTACCAAGTGGACACAGGTTGTTTACATTGCTGCCTTTATTGCTCTCGCTGCTGAGATCGTCCTTGGAATCTTCTCCAACTGCTCTCGTATTGTCTCCTGCTTGACCTGGATTGTCGCTGGTATTGCCACTACCCTCGTTATTGGCTCCGTTGTTCTATCAGGTGTCCTAGCTGGTACCGTCGTCGGCGCTGTTGAGGCTTCTGCCAAGTTTTATGGTGTCCAGGGTCACATCAATGGCCGCTTCTTTGCCTGTGTCGCTATCTCCGCTGCCTTTGCCCTTGCGGCTGGTCTCTTCTGGATGTTCACCATCTGCTGCTGCAAGCCTGAGAGTCGAAGTGACAAGAAGAAGAACCGTCGATCTGACGGCGAGAAGCTCCTCGGCGGTGCTGGCAACAAGCACGGCTCTTACGCTCCTCTCAGCGACGACCACGAGATGCAGACCGGCTACTACAACCACAACCAAGCCCAATCTCAGTACGGTGCTCCTCGCTACCCTAGTGGTACTGCCCGTTCTGATCTCGCCTACGAGCCCTACTCTCACCGTGCCTAGATTCGGGTGAAAGTAGCTCTCACGACATGATTCTTTAAGTTCTTACTTAACACTTGATGATTGCATTAATGGCGTTTTGGTATTGGGTTTGGAACTCAGTGACAGTATATCGTTTGCTATAGCACTCACGCCGTCATGAAGGAACTCTTTGTTTTTTGTTTTTTTCGTTTATGCTTACAGCAATGCAATGGACGTTTGGAGATATTGGTGATGGGGAAGATGCCACGGAACGGCATGATACCCCAAGTTATTTTTTTTTTGGTTGAGCAACGGGGCAAACATTCGTAGCTTGATCATATATACTCCCTTTTTCGTTAAAAACAAATACATACAAGTACCTAAATATCTGATCTATAGCATTCTTTGTGGTGATTGTTGCAATGGTCTAAAGTGAATGCTTCATTCGTTATGGGTCGTTAATGAGCAATTACTAGAACCAGCCCAAAAAATTTCGCTCATGGCTGAACCCACACAAAACTTCACTCACTCATACAAGCTCTTGGTTTCGATCGTCCGTTTCAATCAGTCTTAGTAACGGCAAGAGTCTAAATGAGATATCGCATGCCTTGCGAATATTAGTGAGCGTTTGCTACAATTTTTCTTTTTGTTCTCTAAAATTTGTGGCCATGCCAGAGGTGAGTCGTTATGCTGCCCCTCCCCCGCTATCATGAGCTCACATCCATTCAGTCACGCCTTGACCGGGAATTTTTCCAGGGTCCCATCACTTCACTCGCATTCTTCCGCGATGCAGAGTATCTTCTCGCTGGCGAGGACACTCATTTGACTGTCTATGATTTGCAACCCGGTCATGCTGTTCGTATAGGCAGCGTTCGCGTCTTCTCAGCACAGCCTATCCACGGAATTCGTCTACTCGGCAATGGAAGGGTATTGGCCTGGGGAGCTGCGCAGATCGCGGTTATCTCCAACATTGAGGGTCTCATTGATGCTTCGGATGGCCAGGCCGTGGTGAACAAGACAGCTGCTCCAGATTGGATTTATGATGTTGCGCCGTCGCCTTATGATGACTGTTCTGCGGTTCTTGCAACGGCTCATAACGAGGTTGTTCATCTGCGTCTAAACGGTGAAGATGCTCCGGTTATTGGCGCCGTTGTCTCGCCTTCACGGCCAATCCTATATGCTGCGAGATTGAAATGGTTGGACCAAGGCTCGGTTCTCATGGCTG